AGTACACCCCTTGAGGGCAGCTCCAAAGCGGCGCCGGGAGAAGGCGATACTGGCACCCGGAAGTCCTGCACGGACAGCACCACCGACCGCAAGCCCCTTGAGGGTAGGAAGTCGGATCAACGCAAAGGCGTCCCAGGTCCCAGTGGTTCGAGGACCAAAAAAGAAGTCCGACCAGCAGTCAGGGCGAAAAGGGACAGAAGAGCCGCTTCTAGACTACTGAGGAAGTTCGGCAATGACCCGGTTCCCGAGAGTATGAGGGAAGTGGTTGAGAGGGCGAGGGGCGTTCTCTCCGAAAGTCGTGAGCGACCTCAGGAAGGAAATGCCGCCAACAAACCTGCACCCACTCACCCTCGTCCTAGGGAGCTGGGCAGCAAAAGGCAACGGTCAGCAGACAACATGGATGCTGCTCCTAAGAGGCCCAAAACCTCTAGCGCTAACAGCCCTCTTAACCCTCCAAGGGCTCTGAGGGCTTTCAGTGATGTGGCCAAGGACCACTTGATCCTGGCAGTTATGGATAGGGGGCACCCGGAAGGAAACCTGACGGCCGACAACTGGAGGGCCGTCCTGGTGGGTCTCTGCCGGGTGTACAAGGAGATTCTCCGGAAAAATCCTGGCCCTGCGCCAACTGTCCGCGATGCTGGCCTCTACCAAGGCCGCATCAAATTAGTCTCCTGCGCTGATGAACGGTCGGCGCGACTTTATAAGGAAGCAATTTCTTTTCTTGGGGAACTGTGGCCCAGCGCTGACTTGGTGGCAGTGCACAGGGATGAAATCCCTTGTAAGCCGCGAGCCAGAGTCTGGGTCCCAGAGGAACCCTCGAGTCCTGAGGAGATTCTGGATATCATCCAGATCTCAAATGATACACTACCAGCCCTTGATTGGAAAGTAGTGAAGGTCAGCGAGGTTAGGGAGCAGCAACGTTACATCACCCTTGGTGATAAACGATGAGTCTCTCCCAATCCTTGCTGACTGCAAGGGAGTAATTAGCTACGGCTTTTACTCCATTACCCTCAAAACCCAAAAAGGGAATGAGGGTAAAATGATAGAGCCGGGGAACACCGAGGGTGAACCCGAGGCTGACAATCTTCCGCCTCAAGGCGCCCTTATATCTGAAGCAGAAAACGCCTTGAGCGGTCCTGCTTCTGACCAAGAGGTCCAGGAGGTTCTCGAGGCCATTTTCCCGGTGGTGAGGTCAGACTCGGCAGCGGAAAAAGATAGCGATACGCAATCTGTTTCTGGTGACGGATCGGTACGTAACCGGTGGACGAGGGAGTTCGGTAACCTGCTTCTGACGTCGGATTCAGAGGACGCCGATGATACCATCGTTGAGGCGTTCGATAGAACCTCGCCAGAAGTGATGGACGGGGACGAAATTTTATAAGCTATGGATGAAGGTTCTACAAATAAACCTTCATCACTCTAAAGCAGCTTATGCAGCTCTGCTCCTGCGCCTCAGTGATAGAGGGGAGGAGCTAGTTTTTGTCCAGGAGCCCTGGGTTGTTAAGCACAGGGTTTGTGGACTTAATTCTGATGCTTACCGCATAGTGTCGGCCCCTGTGGCAGGTAAGATCAGGGCATGTATATTAAGCGATGAAGATACGGTGAGCATCTCTGTGGAAAGCCAATCCACAACACTCTGGCTGGTCAGTACCTATATGGCCTACGATCGCCAAGACTGCCCTCCCGCTCGGTTACTGGACGTGGTGAAAGAGGCCAACTCGAGGAAGTTTCCCATAGTTATCGGGGCCGATGCTAATGCACATCACGCGGTATGGGGATCTACCGACATCAACCCCAGGGGTGAGTTGTTACTTGATTTTATACTCTTATATAATCTAGCCATCTGTAATATTGGTGATAAACCCACTTTTGTAACCTCAAATAGGAAGGAGGTATTTGATATTTGAACTTCCGGCCTCGGCCGCTTACAGAAATAAGATACGTACTGACTGGACTAAGTTTAGGAAAGTACTCTCGGGGAATTTGCTCAACAAGGCTTCTCTCAGTAAGCTAGGCTTACTGTCACCACCTGATGCAGCGGAGCTTTCTCTCGCAAACCTTGCTTCTCTCGGTGAGTTAGGCTCATCGGACAAATTGAGGAAGCCGTTGATTGCATTACCGAAGCCTGTAATTGGGCCTTATCTGCTTCCTGCCCACTTGTACTTCCGAGAGGAAAGAAGAAGCCACACTGGTGGAGCAAAAGAAATCGCCTCTCTAAGGAAGGAAAGCAGGAAACTCTTTAATGCGGCAAAGCGCGATGGTTCTTGGACTGCATATAAGGCAGCCCTGAAGAAATTTAAAAATGCCACCAGGAAAGCCCAAAGGGACTCCTGGAAGGATTACTGCGATAGTATAGAGGGTAAGTCGGAGGGAAATCGCCTGCGAAAGGTGCTTGCGAAAAGTCCGACGAACCCGATGTATATTCAGAAACCAAATGGTGACTGGACGTCATCTCGTGAGGAAATGCTTGTAGTCCTAATGAACGCGCATTTTCCAGGATGTACTGCGGAGCCCAACACCGCGGCTATTATCTCTGAACGGCCGTTGACTTCAGAGGACTTTATTGATGTACAAAGGGTAGACTGGGCCATAAAGTCCTTCCAGCCCTACAAATCTCCAGGTATGGATGGTATCTTCCCTGCCCAACTTCAGTCAGCATCTGATCAGCAGTAATAAAAATATTAAATAATGCTCTTAATGACAAAAATATTGATGTTTAGTTATTCGCTTAACAAGGTTTTTAGAACTAAATTAAGGCGAATCGAATTGAAAATATTTTCTGATATTATATCGAAAGACCAAGCTGTCATCGTTTATACTTATCCCTAGCGTTGCCAAACTCTCGAGTAATCTCTTACATCCCTACACAGTGCTAAGCAGTTGTTACCAGGGTTCATATTTGCACACACATGCGCAGCATATCCTAACATTTTACGCTCACGAACGTGTGCCGTGCATATAACAAATTAAAAACTTGTTCACAGCACATGTGTGTGCCGTTTGGTAAAAAGAGCAGGCACATGTGTGTGCTTTGCGTAGAGAAACTCATACACTTCGAATTCTAACTCAAAATAATTTTTTAGTATGTTTGCTGTCATATAAAAAACAAACAACATATCACTTTTTATTGAATTGTTTTATAAAAAACTAGCGGTACCCTGCCACGCTTTGCTGTGGTATATTCCTGTTACCTTCTTGATAAATGATTAACGAAACAAGGCATACATTTCATATACACAATATTTTTCGTATTTCTACGTAGATATCAAGGCTATCTGGTTTGCCGACATGGAAACACGCAACATACATTTGTCCATATGAGAATCAATCGGCATCGGAATCTAAACCACACCTTTCTAAGGACTGACCTAGAGCTTTATTGATTGTGAACTGAAATTTTCTAAATTAAATTGGTGTTTCGGTCGAAATCATGGGAATTCGAAGGCTGAGGACATCTTCACCTTGGAAAGGCCGCGTTAAAATCTTAGCTAAGTTCTTCATCCATTTCTAAACTGCGAGTCGCGTGCCGTTGCAGAGTTTTGGCGAATTAATATTCCGCAACATGATAATTGGCACACCTATTTTCAATTTCAGCATTTGGGATCATTCCGTTGGATAATTAACTGCTTCATCTGTTTCCACAACTGTGTTTAACAACGTATATGTTATTTCCTCACTTTGAATGCTGGATTGAATAGCATTATTGAGTTGATAGACATCCTTAATCTTCGCGGCAAGAATAACTCGTTCCCTGAGCCAATCGTAATTCCAATAATTAATTTGATGATTAAGAAGCATTCTTTCGATCAGCTCTCCTTTCGATGTTTCTAAGTTACAAAAGTTATGAGGCAATAAAATTCGTCCTGATCTCTCATCGACTCCCAATAGCCAGTAATTGTCGCGAGAATACCTCGGCTGATAGATCGTTCTGTAACTGGACACACATATTCGTAGTCAACTGCAATCTATGTTCGTGTTGCCACAATGTGGAATATTTCAGGCAAGCATTTATCTCGTCTGCTTGTGGCGATAGAGAAATTACAGGAAAGGTTTGCGTAAAATCTACTGCGAGCAATGCATTCCCAAGTGATTGATAGTGATGTCCTGAATTGTCGGTACCCAATACTTGAGCAAAATTTCGGTACCCAATACTTTGCTTTCGGTACCCGATACCGAATCGATACATTCTTCGTTATAATATACATGGGTGAAAATTTCTCAACTGGACTTCGGATTTCAGTCAAGTCGAAATTTTTGTGTGAAAATTTGAGGGTAGAGAGGTTTATAAATGTGAAAGGGATTCAGAGAATTTTTTGAAAAATTTTAATTTTTGAAGTTTTTATAAGCAAATATATTTTTAAGCAATCTTTTTTTCAAAACTCATTTTCTCTTAAAGTATTTGACGAAAGTTGATGAAATTTTTCTTGTAAGCATAGTGACATTAGAGCTTTGAAAAAATATATTTTTTTTAATTTGGAAAATTTTTTTTTAAACTTAAACATTATAAATATTCAAGTTGCATTAGAAATATGTTCTCAATGAGTGTTTCCATTTTGTTTATATTTTCGAAAACTGCATTTATTGAAGAAAATATTTGTAAACAAATTTTTGTTAGATTTTTTCTGTTTATTACTTACAGCAACATTTGTCACAGCGCGCACCGCCTATGCGCGCAACGTGTTCACTAGAAAGCGCGTACAGGAGGAACTAACAATTGGCTCATATTTGCGACTTTTAACATAACCTTATATAATAATGATGACATTTGTGGTATTTTTAAGGCATTTTTAGGTTAAGCTTTGCATCGGAGGTATGTGTTAAAATAATCCCATTAATTAAATTTTTTTTGGAGTTAACATACAACATTATTACCAGGGAACGGATTTTTAAGACCTAAAAACCTACAGAAAAAGGGAAACTGGGCAGGAAAAGGCACTAGAAGGCAAAATAAGACACTAAATAAAGACAAAAACCGAAAAATAATAGAAAAATACATTTATTTTAGAAATGTTTATTTTACAAGTAAAAAGAGAAAAGTTATGAACTACATAGTTTCATTATATCAAAAATTTTTAGTTTGAATCTATTTTCCTCTATTTGAGTTTTTATCTCGCAAAACTTTAATCTCTATAGTTGTAGTAACATTGAACCACAAGATGCATTTGAAGTTTTCTGGCAGCATTTTTATTAGATGTTCGCGAGAAAAGTTACAAGGGAGATTTATGTTTTTCATATATGCAATAAGTACTGTAAATATATTTCATAAAGGAAATGGTACCTATCAATTTATTGGCACATTGGCCTTCATTTAGGCACATTTTTTCGGAGAAATTCGACACAATTTTAAATTTTGATTTTCCATCACTGCGGTCAAGCAATGTTTGGATTAACTAGCCAGAGACGAATTAGTGTATCGAAAGTAGGGTGGCCAGATGCGATTTAATCAGTACATGTGCTGATTTTTTGAGTTTGTACTGATTTTGTACTGATTTTTACATTTCATAAATGCTTTTGTAAATTGGTGTAATTGACATTTACTTGAGGTTTACATGTTCAAAACAATGGTTTTTGACAGCTCATACACTGAGGGAAATAATGCATGTAAAAATGAATACTTTATATTTGATTATCTTTTAAAAATGTTCGTATTTAAAAATAATATTTTCATACAAAATTTATTACGCACGTATTTGACTGTTCACATCTGAGTATGTATATGGAGGTGTACATACGCACCCCAAGCATGCAGAGCGCCGCTATCCGTACAAATCGCGTGCTGTGGTGTTGATAGATATTCAACATTTGAAAGCAAATTTATATGTCTGGGCGGAGCTGAGTGCGCAAAGATGCTTGCCACAAGTAATTGATATCCGGAGATGGTCGGGTTCGAATTCCACTGCAGGCAACATGCCAATAACATTTTTTTTTTAGTTTTGGCTTGATTATTCACTTCGCGGATGCTTTTTCAGTACGAACGCGGTCATTTTAATATGCGCGTAATTGAATTGAATATTTACCAATATACAGTACTTTCGTTGAAGTTTATAGTAAGATCAATTACGTTTCTATTTGATTTTAATATTTTTTCCCCTCAGTGTACGTGTGAGCAGATTGAAAGCATTAATTAAATTTAAACCATTATTAAAAAGGTGTCAGTTTGCAATTGTTTCGTTTCCTAGGATTTCGCAAAATATTTGGATTCAACCCAACCCAACTTCACGATTTGCAGGTTTTGCAGGATTTACAGAAAACGTGGTTTCGCCATTAATAAATGTTATGAAAGGTGGTGGTGAGTTAATCATATATTAAGTACACTGAGAAGATGACAATAAGTATTTCAAACTTAAGATGACTACTGCTACGGTGCAATGCAAGTTCTAAAAATTTGGAAAAGGTGCAAACTACCAACACTTGGATATGATATACATATGTAGCTTTACTTTGATTTTTGATGTTCGACTACCTGTAATTTTACTTGCACATACACATTTAACACTATTAAATTTCATTCGTACTTTTTAGTCAACATTTTAATGTGAATGTTGTATTTAATAAGCACACCATCTAAATATGTTTTAAATTTGTAGCTTAAAATATGAAAAACAGATTCTGACTCCAGCTCGTCTTCTACTGAAACTGAATGGGCTACAAATTTTTTTTTTTAATTTTCTCGATTTTATAAATTTTATAGAAAGTTTGAGACTTCAACGCACATGTCTTTTGTTATAGAATTAACTATGTTTTTATAAAAAATTTTAATTATGTAAGGAAAGAAAAAAATTTCAAAACCTGTCAATACATTTTACTATTATTTTCGTGAGCACAGCTGTACATACATACGTAATACCTTTGGTTTGTTTTAAAGTAATGAATTTTTATATGGAAATAATAATATATGTATTTAAAAGTCTATTAGTTATTATTTGTTAAATTAACGCGCTATTATTTTGTTGTTATATTGTTAATAATAAAAAATACGCTTAAAAATTAACAGATTTGTATGGCTTTGTACTGATTTTTGATCCCAACTGTACTGATGATGTCACTATAAAATCTGGCCACCCTAATCGAAAGACACTACTAGACGCCAACCGACTAGTTAAGCCAAACGCTTACCTAGCAAGACTGACTTGCCTGCGCACTTGTTCAGCCTTTTATACCCGTTGCTGCGTGCTCGGGTTGAGAATTTGTCGTGCGCACTTGCCCCGATTGTAGTTGGCGAACGAAGTGGCCGCAGTGATCGGACTTCTACCACATTGTGGTAGATCTTCCACTTTTTTGAGCATCTACCACATCTACCACACAAGTTCTGAAACCTACCACATATTCGCGTTTTTGAGTAGTTTATTTTTGCTCGACATAATTTTCTTAATTTTAGGAGCAAAAATTGTCCAACACTAAACACTAACAACAGGCAGAATGGGAGAATAAAATAAACCGTAAAATAGTAAATTCTCTCAATATTCAATTTTTCGACAGGAAACGAGGTTTTATTGTGCTAAATTGCAAAATATATGATTTATAAAAAAGAATTAATAGCGAAAATGTTAAAAAAGGGAAAGTAGCAAATTTCAGTGTATCTAAAGTTTCTAAAGCGTTGTTTACTTTTACTTGAGAATTGTCAAAATCGGCAAATCCCAAGTAGCGGTTTCCAGAACGTGCCACATTTGTTCGCTACATCGTGATGTGATAAAAAGAAAAGCTGGCAGCACTCCGCAAGGTTGCCGAAATCTTTCAAAATATGTTCGAAAAATATCTTTATATGGAAGGAACTGCTTTACACTGTCAAGGAAAAAATTGCCAAAACTCAACGCAATTTTTAGCAACTTCAATCTTGCCCTTTATTATACTAAAATTAATCTTTTTTAGATTCTAATAAAAATGTTTGCAATTTAGGTGAAACCTTGCAGATTTTTGTTTAATTTTTGTACAAAGTTTGATCCAAAACCTGAGATCTACCACATTTTTTTGAAATCTACCACATTTTTTTGAAATCTACCACATTTTTTTCCAGATTCTACCACACAACTTTTTTTTCAAGTCCGATGGAGTGGCCGGTGTGCTGCAATCAGTGTTTTGCCTGATGCTGCATGCGTCTGCCGAAGAGTACATATATGCGTGGTTATGTATGTACGGGGGAGTATGTATGTCGGATGATGTATGTATGTACCAAGGAATATATAGATGCGTTGTTATGTATGTACGGTGGTGTATGTATAATATTGTATCGTAGCGGATGCTTGACCGCATACATATAAAATATTTTTTTGCTAAATAACAAAGAGCATTTATATAGATAGTATAACATAGAAATATATGAACTTCATGTGGTGGGGCAGGTGACGTCTGGCGTTGCTAGTTGCAGAATGAAATTTGGTATCGCAGTTCGCGATATTTCACGGTGGCCCATGGTGTACTTTCGAACGGCGTCCGCCATGGCCGGGTGTTTTGCGGCTAGTCCGGTGGAGCCGGATGTCGGTTTTGGTGGCTTGTTGATGCGGCGGGNGGGAAAGTAGCAAATTTCAGTGTATCTAAAGTTTCTAAAGCGTTGTTTACTTTTACTTGAGAATTGTCAAAATCGGCAAATCCCAAGTAGCGGTTTCCAGAACGTGCCACATTTGTTCGCTACATCGTGATGTGATAAAAAGAAAAGCTGGCAGCACTCCGCAAGGTTGCAGAAATCTTTCAAAATATGTTCGAAAAATATCTTTATATGGAAGGAACTGCTTTACACTGTCAAGGAAAAAATTGCCAAAACTCAACGCAATTTTTAGCAACTTCAATCTTGCCCTTTATTATACTAAAATTAATCTTTTTTAGATTCTAATAAAAATGTTTGCAATTTAGGTGAAACCTTGCAGATTTTTGTTTAATTTTTGTACAAAGTTTGATCCAAAACCTGAGATCTACCACATTTTTTTGAAATCTACCACATTTTTTTCCAGATTCTACCACACAAATTTTTTTTCAAGTCCGATGGAGTGGCCGGTGTGCTGCAATCAGTGTTTTGCCTGATGCTGCATGCGTCTGCCGAAGAGTACATATATGCGTGGTTATGTATGTACGGGGGAGTATGTATGTCGGATGATGTATGTATGTACCAAGGAATATATAGATGCGTTGTTATGTATGTACGGTGGTGTATGTATAATATTGTATCGTAGCGGATGCTTGACCGCATACATATAAAATATTTTTTTGCTAAATAACAAAGAGCATTTATATAGATAGTATAACATAGAAATATATGAACTTCATGTGGTGGGGCAGGTGACGTCTGGCGTTGCTAGTTGCAGAATGAAATTTGGTATCGCAGTTCGCGATATTTCACGGTGGCCCATGGTGTACTTTCGAACGGCGTCCGCCATGGCCGGGTGTTTTGCGGCTAGTCCGGTGGAGCCGGATGTCGGTTTTGGTGGCTTGTTGATGCGGCGGGTTTTCCTCGATGGCAGGACGTTTATGTGGTGAATGGTTTTAATTCGTGCAAGTGTGCGTGCGCTGGTGGTTTGTCGGGCCTGCGAAGGTCGCAGAAACTCTTCTGCTGTAAGAGACTCGGTTCCAATTTTCATTATTATGGACCTTCCAAAGATGACATTTTTTAATACCTATAACTGCTTCAACCTTTTGCCATTCATATCTTTTTGCGAAACTCCTCTAACTCAAAGGTTGATATCAGAAATCGTTTAATAGAAGTATACCTCTGGACTTCTCTTACAGAATATTCTGCACTTATTCTTAGTCTTATTTTTTTTCAAAATGTCCAAAATGTAACAGCAGAACTAAACGTTATTTCTTCTTTGACCCTTGTATTTCCTCCGTCTGAATATCTTCTATAAAGTTATGCAAATTTTTGATACCTTATTTTCAAGGATTGCTGTTGCACGGAGATTTTGCAGACAATTGGAGCGTGATTATTCATAATGAAACACAAAGTGCATCATTGGGAAAAAATTAATTTTTAAATATGTAATAGAAATATAAAATGAGTATGATATTTATGTAGTGGTAAGCAGTGCGCGCTTCCACTCCGTAGCAACTGGGTTCAAACCCTGGTCAAAGCAACATCGCAAAAATATAGAAAAAAAGTTTTTTCTTAACAGCGGTCGTCCCTCGGCAGGCAATGGCAAACCTCCGAGTGTATTTCTGCCATGAAAAACAGCTTCTCATAAAAATACAATCGCCGTTCGGAGTCGGCGTAAAACTGTAGGTCCCTCCGCTTTGTGTGACAACATCAAGGCGCACGCCACATATCGGAGGAGAAGCTCGGCCAAACACTAACATATGTGTAAGCGCCAATCTATTATTATTATTATGATATTTATAATATTTGCCAAATAAATTTTTTTTTATTTTGGAAAAAAATTCTCCTGACTTCAAAAATGGTTTAGCCCGCTTCAAACTTATATCAATTCTTCCTCATATTGGAAAAAATTTGTTGTGAATTTTTGGAAAAAGGTGGCTTCTTCGAGAAAATCTACATAATTTCTTTTTACAAACCTGCCCGCCATTTTGTTAATTTTAAATTATTTTGCAAAATTTCAAACGAATTTTCAATGAAAGCTTGGCCACCTATAAGAACCACGAAAACAAAATTATGTATCTTAATTAGAAGAAAAGGCTGGCAAAACTAAATTTTTATTTTTTTTTTCACTTTTATCATTCCAAATTCACGAAATTGGATGTGTAAACATATGTTTACGGTTCGGCAAACCATTAGGCGATTTAGTTACATACATAGGTTTGGTTAGAAATCAAACAATAATTTCATTTCATCTTNAAGCTAGGCCACCTATAAGAACCACGAAAACAAAATTATGTATCTTAATTAGAAGAAAAGGCTGGCAAAACTAAATTTTTAATTTTTTTTCACTTTTATCATTCCAAATTGATATGCGCATATCTTTATTAAACATCGTTCTTTAAAAAAAAATGCGTGTGTAACACCGTACACATGATAGAAGTGAAACTTCTTAAAAAAGGTGTGAGTACCAGGTACCTACTCACGAAATTGGATGTGTAAACATATGTTTACGGTTCGGCNCGGTTCGGCTAACCATTAGGCGATTTAGTTACATACATAGGTTTGGTTAGAAATCAAAC